TTAACCTATTTGAAGTGCATATGAAGAGTGTGTTAAAGGTATCGGTATTTTTTCCATTTTGTAGACATGGAAATTGACCACAGAGAAACTAGGTCACCTGGCTGAAGTCATACAGCTAATTACTGTCATCAGTTAGGATTTGAATCCAGGAATCTGGTTCTGATATCCATGCTTTGACTATTTCTGTTTGTTCTCTGATCCCTGTTAATGATGGAGTAGGGAGTAAGTGCAGTGGTATGTTTAAGGATGAAACTGATTTGATAGGTTTTGTGAGCCGTGTCAACAAGCTCAGAGTTCCACATGGAATCACTGTAATGTCTAGTGACACTGGACTCAGAGTTCTGACCAAAACTCCCAGTGTACCACTTAGTAGATGATTGTCCGTAGTCCTCTTGTCTGACTTCTGATATTGTCTTAGTCTCAGTAAGGTCATGGCCTTCAAGGGGGTGCAGTCCATTCTTCTAGACTCCGTGGTTGGAAATGACCAAATGAGTCGCTTACCAAGAGATACACATGTTTTAGCGACCCAATGAGTCTCATATCTGTAACCCAGCCCGGGAACTCACCCAGGTCAGCTGCAGAAAGATGGGTGAGATGAAAATACTGATTGCCATATATTTTAGTAGTGAATCAGAACATTGTAGAATCAAATTATTTGCTTCTACTAAGAGGTGGTAATAAAGCCAGAGTCTCCGAGGGTTTTCCACATATGCCAAAGCAAGTATGAATGAAAGGAACCTAAGATATTCCCTCTTTTGAGATAATATTCAAAGAAGCAGGCTTTATCTAAACTTCGTAAAGATCCATTTTCAAAATGCATTTTCTTACAAATTCTTTTTATCTACTCATTAGCATGAAGTTTCTTAGTATAAAAACATTTTACATTTTTAAGAAGAGTGTATTGCTTTTCTTCTTCGATTGTCTTTTTTGCTTAACTAGCTTGCCCTACCATTATAGCTGTTGGCTATATTTTTCACTATACATATATATTTTATTTTACATATGTATATGATCATGTATATGTCAATTTCTAGGTTATGTTTTGATTAGTTAAAACTTCCAAATGGTAGCATTACTTGGACAATATTCCCCAAGTTCAATATTATATCTATTTTAATCTGCAGTTCATGTATCACTTAGTGTTTTAAAAGGGATGGAGCCGGGGCATAAAAAGATGGAATAGACTGAATAAAACAACCTTTGTGGTTTGCCTGGCTTGATTTGCATAAGCTGATAGAACTTCAAGCTTCCTTCTAATGTTTTATGGTACGTTTCCACACATAAAAAAAAGATGTGCCGATGAGATGAGGATATGGAAAAATTTGCATATTTGACAATGAATCCTATGGGAAATGTAAAAGCAGATGTATAGGGAAGATAACAAGTCAATGTGTTGCTATTTTGTGCACTAATATTAAGGGTTGGCATCTAAGAATAATACTTCCACACTAGATTAATTATAAAATGCTGACGAGGCTTTCATGCCATGGTTAGCATTCTTTAGCTTATTTGATCGGGTACCTCTGGGTTAAAAATCTGGTCAGTGAACTGTTTGCTGCAAGGAGTTATCCACAACTCAAAATGGTCTTTACTTGTAACAGTGTTATTTGGCATTCATTTTAAAACAAGTCATGTTACTTTACAGAAATATGGCAGAATGCCAATATATTAATAGCCAGCAGTATGCTGATAAGCTAGCCCTCTTGGGGAGAAAATAACTGATTTTCGGTGTTGGCAGTTCCAGTGGTATAAATATTTTTGCTGTGACTGATTTCAAGCTATCATTTGGCCACAAACTTGCAAAATTTCTAAATACTTAGCATAATCTTTTGGAAAGAAGTCAAGGTGAGTATCAGCATGCCCCTAAACAATAAAAAACCCCTTTTTTGTTGGCATAATAATTTTAATTATCCTGCAACACTTGCATTCAATTAAAAGTTACCCATTAAGAGAATATCTTCATGTGATACTTAAGGGCACTTTACAATATGGTTATAGTAATATGAGCCCCGGACTGTTTTTGAAGAGCTAATAAAAAATTAAGTCTAGCCAAGACAGGGAGAAAAGTACACCCTAAGAATGCTTTAGACAACTTCAGGGAATTCTTGGCCCTCCTGATTATCTGTTGGCAAGTCAGAAAATAAGAATCTCTGTTGTTTTTTTGTGTCAGAGAAACTGATTTGACAGGCAGCATCATGGAATGACTGTGTTTGGGAGCTCACTAAGAATGTAGATTACTGGAGAGCCCAAAAGTCATTTTGTGACCTCAAAGCAGCTACATTATCCATGTTTCATTAGCAGATTTTATATTTTATAATGTTTTATGACACTGGCCTCTTCTATTTTGAGTCCAAAATTCAGAGAGCGCAAGGAATTGATATAAATGTTCTGACAGCAACTATTGTAAGTAACATTGACCAATCTGGTTTAATTCATCTCTTTGTTCTACTTATTTTGTATGAACTGTTGTGCAAATTGACTTTAGAGTTTATGTCATTTCATCTTTTTTTTTTAAAAAAAAATACATGCTTCCTGCTTATGTATGCGTATGCTTGTATAAATGTATGTAAACAAAATTCAGACAAAACTTTTATTTCTCTTTTTAAAACTCTCGTGTTTTTACTAAGCCAGGCTAAGTCTGTGCATGAATTAATTAAAATCCTACTGACTTCTGACTAAGTAGAATTCCCTTTTACATCATGGTATGACACTTGCATTGTGTTTTATAGCACATATTACAATTATATTTCAATCATTTATTTTGTGGGAGTGTTTCAAAAATAGTCATGTTTTATTTGAGAGGCAAACTTACCAGAATAAGAAATTTATAACTTGGCCTGATGCATATTATTTATCAGTAAGTGAAGATTTAGTGAATGCAATAATTAATGAGTAAATGATAATTTTCTGATATAATTTTTAAGAGAAAGTTAAAAGAGGAAATAAGTAAGAGACTAAAATCGGAGTCAAGCAGGCAAATTGTCTTCAGTTTCAGCATCATTTCTTTGTGTATCCGTCTACCAAGTCCAGTGGCACTTTCAGTTCTGATCTGAAGTTGTATACAATGACAACTAGAATCTTATTTAAGATTGTCTACTTTTAAATGCGGAAAGGAAATTCTTTTGTCTTTTATTTCCGGGTTTATTTTTTTCAGTCTTTTCAGCTAAATACCCACATGAAGAGAATTCTGCTTTACCAGCAGAAACTATCACAGGAGAGTCATGGAAGGTAGACTGTAATTTACAAGGAATTCTGTCTTTATTTATTTTAACATAAATTCCCTTTGTGACTGTTAAGTTGATAAATGATGATGTCAGACTGACACCCTCATTGAACAACAGTGCCATTCATTCAATTCAGGGTAAATTGCGACCATATGCTCACACTTGCCTGTTTCAGCAGCAGTTGTGCCTGAGTCCAAGAGGGGACTTAGGGTAGCACAGCCACAGCAGGTGAGCCATTATTAAAACAACTGGCTAGTTGGCCAGTTAAAGGTACGATGTCCCTATTAAAAACATTCTCTTTTGGCTCTGAAGATGATTCCATCTAGAACCGTTTGCCTTTATACATTGGAATGTGAAACCAACTTAATCCATGATGAATTTATTGAACATCTGCCATGGTGATGGATATATTGCCAGAGTTTCGGCAATAGCAAGTAAAACAAACCCAAGATATTTTGTCTTTTGCAAATATATACGTTGGCAAGCCAAGAATACAAATCAGTATAATACAAAGACATAAACTGACAGAGGAACCAGATACTGCGTCTACTTGATTAAGTCAAGCAGGGTTTCACAGAAGAAGAGCCAGGTTGAAAGGAGCATTAAAGGATGGCTAGGATGGAATAGCTGGAAATTAGTGACAAAAAGGAATTCTTTGTGCACAGTTCATATAACTGAGGAATGCTGTGGGATATATTTTCCTAAGAAGAATATGTAATCCAGTTTTTTTTTTTAAGGACAGAGGTTACCTGTGATGGTACAACAGGAAATGACTCTGGGAAATAGATTTTGTTCATGTTACATATGTGAAAGCATTTTAGGCAGTGGCTGATGAGTTAAGCAAGAGTCCTGGCTTTACAATAAGTCAGTGCAATTTTACTTGTCTTTGTTTCAAGATAGTGGGCTGCCAGTAGATGAAATGATGATGATTAGTTTTTGTTTGGTGTAATTTATGTCTCTCTGACCTGCCACCACATCCCCTTCTCTCCTCTTCTCTTCTCTTCTCTTCTCTTCTCTTCTCTTCTCTTCTCTTCTCTTCTCTTCTCTTCTCTTCTCTTCTCTTCTCTTCTCTTCTCTTCTCTTCTCTTCTCTTCTCAATTGAACTTACGTCTGACTCTACCGATGATGAATAACGTAATGACTCGGGGACTAGGGTGGGTGGGCTGTGAGTGGTGGCAGTAACCATTCCAAGGAGCATTCTCGTATTATCAGGCAAGTTAAAGACTTCGGGCCTCCTTAGAATCACATTATAATGGTAGTAGATGAGACAGCAGTCTACTTATCCTGCTGCGGATCATCACTGGTGGGGGCTTTTCAGATGGTGTAGAGTTGAACAGTACCATATGCCCTTCTTACAGAGACTGAGTGGCCTTTGGCTGTAGGAGGACAGTCTAACTCAGAGTGTAGATGATTCAGGAAAACCGTTTCTGGCAGCTGAAATTATTCCAAACAGCGTTTCATGCTTGGCTAGTCATGTCCAATTCATGAACTAATGAGGAAGCATGCAAAAGTTCAGAGAGTAGAAAAATAGTTTAAAAATAAGGAGATTCTGGATTTTGGATACAGTTCTAAATCTGACCTCTTGGGTGTGTTTAAAAATAAAGAGTAAAAATGGGTACATGAGTTCTAAGATGTATCAAATTTTGGGGCATAGAGGAATGTAAACTCTGAAAAAAAAAACCAATAGGTTTTTTAAAGGTGGTGCCTTTAACATCTCCTTTCACGGTACCAGTTTAGTGCAGAGAGCCTTGGAGAGATGGATGGCTGACAAGGGAACTAGAGACCTGCATCTTCTGTCAGCTCCACAAGGTGGCATTCTGTCGAGAAAATGTTGTGCTGAGCAGGTGGTTCCTGTGAGGGTTGCTGTGCATGCCACCGTTTGCAGGAAGGAGAGATGACATTCCTGAACGCCGCCCGGAAACGGCGAGACAGCACGTTGTAGATAACAGGGTTGACAGCCGAGCTCAGGTAGAAGAAGACACCTGCGGTGCAGAAATGACACGCCCAGGAGACGTGAGTGAGGGCCGGGAGGGAGAAAGTCGTAAATAATGAACAAAGGACTGAAATCCCTCCGATTGTCCCTTCTGGAAGGGATCATATATACAAGACTCTGATCATTGAGATTACAAAATACTCTGAACACCTGTGTGTGTGCTCAGCAATCAGAAAGATTAAAGATTCTTGGAAAAATTTAGACTGGCAAGGGATCTCTCCGAGATGTTTTGCAACTTCTTTTGATCTCTACTTGTTTAATGAAAGAACATGTTCCCATAGCATTAATGAGAGGTGCTTAAGTACCAAAGGAGAAAGAGATATTTTCATTTCACTGGGAGTTTTACTTAAACCCAGAATTTGAAAATACCAGGAATAGAAAAATGGTGACTCAGTTAAGGCTTAGACCCTGCTGAGATTTCTTATAGTGCTAAATGTGTCATCCAAGAAAGATTCCCCAGTAACCTTTACCTGTCAACCTTTCCCATTGCTGAATTTTCTTGCTGAGTAATTGTAATTTAGCATTTATCTTTTCTGCCAAGTGGATTGCATATTGCCATTCTCCTCTTTGGAATAGCCTTATGCTTTATTATCATACATTATTTTATTTCTCCAAGGCCTCAGATAAACTGGAGTTTGGAAATCAAAGGACCTGGTTTTCACCTTTGTCCTAGCTTGTTCTGTGACCTCAGATGAACACAAACATTTTAATTTCCCCATCTGTGAAATGGGAATGAAAATATCAGCTGAACCCATTTCCCTGCATTTTTGTGAGGATAAAGTTGAAATACCATCCACAGAGAGGCTAGGAATACAAAGCAGGTGATAGGCACGGTTTTGAACATGTTTCTACTTTTCCTTATTTACATAGTTCAGGATATACAGAGTCACTCTATGTGCACGTCAGGCAGGGAGGAGTATACTAGGAGAGTCTGTCTTACTGAAGAAGTAAATACTGATTGAATGCTGAGTATGTGCCGGGAACTTCAAGGCACACTGAAAGCAAGTGTAGACTTGTCCCTAATGATTTGACGTAGTATTGCAGAGGCAAGGTGTGTGGCTAAATTAAAAAATTAACGACAGAACAATATGAAGCTATATCTGTTAAGTGCAAAATATGATATACCAACTGCCATGTTATGTCAATACATATAATGCCATAAGCACAAGGGCTATTATGGTCATGAAAGATTTAGTGGGGTTATTGATCTGTTGCCAGAGCTTGAAATAGATCAGAAATGGTTAGAAAGAAAAAGAGTATGTTGCAGGGAGAAGGCATAGCAAGTTCGAATGGATAGAGATAGAATGGTTTATGTTACACATATGTTAAATAAATGTGCAGAATTCTCCAGCCAGGTTAATCTGCTGTATGTGTGAGTGGGAATACTACAAGCTGGAAGATGAACAGGCAAGTTAAGGGCATTTTCTGTAAGGTTTAGGAGATTTAAGCTTAGTCTAGTCTTTTTTTTTTTAATGTGGGGGAAGACAGATGGTATCTTAATAGCATAACACCATTACTGACGCCGTAGTTTGTTCATGTTGTTGCATCCGCAGCTAGTCAATTCCATGTGAACTTGTAGATCATCCCAATTTCTTTTGAACTTTCTTATTTTCCTTTGATTAATCACAGAGATAAGTAAGTAAGAGTTATAAATATATTTTGAAGTTTGGCCCTGTCATGATGTCTGGGTTTACAGCATAAAGAGGTCTGCTGAAATCCAAAGAAAAATTTGGGGAAAAATGATAGAGCAGTATAGGATTAACTAAGAAACTGATCTTTCTAACTCTGGTTGCATCTTTAATAATAGAATGTAGAGAATTACCAGTGATGAGCAAACTTAGGAAAACAGCAGTGGGCCTGTACTGAGATGAACAGAGCCATGACCTGGAAAGAAGGACCAGGTGGCCAGTCTTTGTTCTGTTTTAATGTATGGGATGCAGTGCTGAAAGTCAGATGACTAGGGCTTGAGCCCTGCTTGTACTCTCTCCCAGCTGCGTGCCGTCGGGATGGTCACTTCGCTTGTGGATTTTTCTTTTGGAAGCATAACATGTAAATGATAATATTCAATAAACAACTTCTGATAATTATAGACAAACATAAAATATTTTACAACTTAAAAATTCCTTAATGTCCACCATTTCATTTGTTTCCTGACTATAACACGGTGTGTCTAGAGCAAGCATTATTGCTGTTTTGTAGTTGAAGATATTTTAGGATGAAGGAAGCCATGGACTCTAGATTACCCCAAATAATAATGATATAACTGGGCTGCAAACCCATGTACTCTGACATAGTGACCTTTCCAACACTGTTTCCACCATGATGTATAGTATCTTCAACAAGCTGAGTTAAAATAGTATAAATGCAAACTTTGATGTATCATGAATATCCTTTGCTTGGCTTGGATTTAACTCCTGTCAAAGCAAGAGATTTCTGGGGTTCAATTTTATTGCCATTAGAAAGGGAATGAAAGGAATTACTCTTTGAATACTCCTATTATAGCCATTATACTTACAGTTAGGCTTTCAGTAAAGTAGCGTCTCAATAGTGACATGCTTTATTTCTTTTATAAAGAGTAACATACATAACCAGTTTATAAAAGTTAAAAGCAAATGTCTTCATTACTGAATGGCAGATCCCCATGGGAAGCTGCTTCACTCAGACATGTAAACAAGATGAAGAAGTTGCATTTAATTGCATGCAATTGAAGAAACTGAGTTTTACCTGATACCACATGAATGAGATTGAACACAGTGGCCAGGGATTCATTCCATTCGTCCACAAAGCTGAAGAAGAGTCGGTCAATATGGAATGGGGTCCAACAGATAGCAAACACCAAGACTAAGACAACTGGGAGACAATGACACATGGGAGGGAGAAAAAGACAATCTCAGCAGAGAAAGGTATCCAATATTCGCTTGGAGCCATCTATCCCATTTAACAGTTAAACTGTGACTGTTACGAGCAAACCCTAATCTGAAGACCTTCAACAGTCAATATTTAAACATAAGAATGAATTGAACAAGGCCTGATACATTTGTTTTTTCAAGTGATTGAACATTTTTTTATATAATGTATGTTTCCTTTAGATGATTTCAATGATGTTGAATATGTCTCAATTCTGGACCTGTTTTATTTTGGAAAACAAAGGATGCTTCAGGTAGCACATTGGAGCCATATAAATTGGTTAAGTAAGTAAAAGGGTTGGATTCAAGAAGGTGGTGTTTCCTGTTGTCATGGATTAGTAACAAATTGTTGTTTCTGTGAAATAATTTGTTACTCTAGAAATCCAAGTTCTTGTGCATTCAGTCACTTAAAATTCTATGAAGAGTGGGAGAGGACAAGGGAAGATTGAGCAACTGGCATAAGTTGGCTTTACAAATATTTCTTGATTGAAAAGTCTTATATTTGGGGAAAAAAACTGGTACAGCACAAAATTCCTTCCATGTATTTTCAGTTCTTAAGGCAAAGAGTGATTGGTGCTACCATACTTTCTTCAGAACAGTTATGCTCCAAAACTATAAATATATATTTTATATTTTTATATTTTGAAATGATAAAATCTTTTGCTTTTCTGTGATATGGATCTTGGGATTTACCTAAAAATAAACTTGTAAGGATTAGGGAAAAACATAATGGTATAGATGAAACAGGATTAACCATGAGTTGATACTTTTTTATTCTGTTGATAAGTACATGCACATTGTACAGTTCTCTTGTTTGCACTTTTGAAATTTCCATAGTGAACAGCAGTATATTTGCTTTTAATATTAAACACATTCAGAGTACACGTTCACTCATGTGGTGTGGTATCTACAAGTTTCTTCTGTGTTCACCTTCCTCCCATCTGCCCCTTTTTTCACCTGCTACCCCCGCCTCTTCATCTGCTTACTACTGCCTACAATTATCTTCAGGTAAAAATTTAATACCGGATAATATAGTACTGCTTCCAAAGACAAATGCTTTATGGTACACTTCATTATTACAGCTTTAATGTGAGTGAGGTTTTCAAGTCTTCTTTTGAGTAGATTATGAAAAAAAGTAAAGAGGAAATACAGATATTACATTCCTCTATAGGAAAGTTAGGTGCCAGAAATATCTGAGAAAATGGCTCTTGGAGGCCAGAAGACTGCACTGACTTCAGTGCTGTTTTCCTCACAAAGTTTCAGCAAGTATTGTATGTGTGCATTAGCCTTAAAGATTCATTTCTTCTAAATCCTATATTTTCGTCTGGAAAGCATGCTATAGTCTCCTTTCCCTCATCAGTAAATCTCATAGACTACTCCTAGAGCCTATATTTTCATAACATTTCTTTTGGGAGAATGTAAAGCAATACCTCGATAGGTTTTTTTTTTTAATATGCTGCAGTATACTTTTTAATACAAAAATATACAAGTTAGTAGGCAGAATGATTACTTAGAGGTACTGTTAGACAACTGCTCTTAAATGGAATTGAAGATTCCAGGGACTTCCCTAAGTGAGAACCAGGGGGTACATGACTCTCTGAAGTGGATTATAAAGTGTTCTATGTGTGTGCAATTATACACTTTCAATATATTTGAATGAAATCCATAACACAAGGAAAGGCAAAATAACCTGCTCATTTTACAGAGGGAAAGAAAAAATGATGCTCAAAGGCTCATGGAGGGGGTGTAATTTACCAAACACTACACTGAGTGTTGCCATGCATGCAATTCAACATGTTGTTTGAGGGCTCGGGACTAAAAATGAAGCAAAACTTGAAGTTTGAGGAAGCCAGAGAAGACAGACAGTTGTAATAGTCTCAAAATTATCTTGAACCTGATCCAAGCAGTACATTGTTAGCACCAGTAGAAATGCCTTAGCTTTTGTAAAATATATATATATATATATACACACAAAACACAGTAGTGCACTTACACAACATCTTGGTGACTGATTTTCTGGAGGGTCTTTGAATATTTGTGGTCACTTCATTTGCCTGGAGGGACTCATCTTTCTTCAGCTTAAAACAAAGTAGAAAAAAATGGTAAGAATTGGGATCACTCTGCTCCCCACCTGGCAACCGAGAAGTGAAACATTACCAAGTTTTTTGGTTGTCTTTTTTTTTTTAAGGTTAACACGGACAGGGTTGGTGTTGTGATGCAGTATAATAAGCTGCTACTTGGCTTCTGAAGGCAGTGAGTCCATAATCGACTACACCCTCACACTTGACAGAAGACTCAGTAACTTGTAGGAATGCTTGTGTTTCCTTGAATCTCTTAAAGACTAAAGGGCATTTGAGACAAGTTTCCATGCATTTTGAGGGTAGAAAAGCTGATTGCTAGAAAGGAGGGAGGTATTTTTACCTTACTCATTTACTTACAATTGGCAAGAAATAAATTAACTAAGAATCTCACCACGGTACATGGTAAGTTTTCTAAGTGAAGGAAGGAAAATCACTGGGAGCCATGAGCAGCTATAAGGGCAGGTGTACTGAAGGTACCTGGTAGAGCTTTCTTGATGAACTGCGATTAAAGTACAGCATTAGAAGGCAAGTCAGGGATGGGGGGCAGAAGTGGTTGCATTGGTGAAGAGCAGGGATATTTCAGGCAGAAAGCGAAGGCTCTGAAGCCAAGCCTAGGAAATGCAAGCTATTTTTCCATAACTTCCACTCTTTCTCAGCTCCTTTGCTTGTGTCTAATACCTTGGCTAATACCACATGCTTCCTGAGAGCAGAATGTTTAAAGTACGTTACACACAAAGCAAATTTGAGTGGTGTCTGGGTTGTTGTCCTAGCTGTCAGTTAGCTCATGATACAAGTTAGCTGTGATTCATGGCAACAAAACACAGTGACAGGATCTGGGGGAGAATGTGTGTTTTCTACTCAGCATCAGATATTTCTTGCAAGTTAACCAAAGATGAGTGACTCTTGTAGGGTAGAATTGACAAATTCTGGGTAGGAATGTCTCCAAAGACTTAGGATATTTGGAATTGTGTAACAATCCTTCTCAGTGAGAGGCATGGGGCCTTCTGAAGACATGGCTGTGGCCTAGTCTGGGATCACATATGTCTGAGAATACAGGGACCACACCCTCCAGAAGACTGGCATGACTCTGCCTGATTTGATTTCCTTTTGTGTCAAGATGTCTGTGAATCTTAGATTTTGTTCTTAGTGCTTGCTAGTCCCCTCAGGGACAACAGCTATTCAAAAGATCTACTTACAGGGCATGTGGTTTTGACGGTTAACTTTTTCAGAGATGAACTGAAATGGGAGTGCATTACTGTCATGTAATATATGGTGGCAGAGCCACCTTAAAGTGCATGATATGTCTGTGCTATTCTCCTTCCATTTGTAATTTATGCAGCTCCTGCTTTCAGTATTTTTCCTTTTCTGAGAAATCACATATTGTCTGAGACAGAAGGAGACTTAGAAATGATCTATTGTGCCCTTTTCATTTTATAAATGGTAAAACTAATTCTAAGAGAATTATGTGGCTTGCCTTAAGGTGTATTATGTAACAGCCAAGGACTTGGGAGCCAAAATGACCTTGTAGCTATTTACTGCACAAGCTACCTTCTTAAATGAATTGTCACATTCAAAACTTTCATTTCTATGAATCTGGATATAGAATATTCTAGAAGAGTTAGAAGTCTACTCTTATCAAACATTTTTCTCAGCTCGGAAAAAAAGTAACTTATCATGATGAGCACAGGAAAGGAACCTGTAATTTTTTTTTAAAAAAAAAAAAGACTTGAAAACTGATAGTTTCTTTTAATACTTGATGTCTCTTACTCAAATTTTCTTTCATGTGCTCCTTTTACCCTCACACCCCTCAAATTTCTAACTGCTTGACAGGGGAACAATACACCCATCTTCTGTTTTTATTTTTATCTGATATTTCAACCAAAAGGTCAAAGCTAACATAGGAATAATGTGACTTGAACAGTGTATAGGCGGAGATAGGTTATGCTGCCCTCAGACAAACTGGTAAAGAGATAAATTCCAGTAGAGGTAGCAGGGTGATGGTGAGTGGAGAGTAGGGTATGAAGAAGTTTGCCAAGATGTGGCCACCTAACCCCAGTTTCCCTGATAAGCTTGTTTAAAAGGGGGCTACACCTCAAGCCAAGTGATTCAGATTTTTTTCTAAGGGGCCAGAGTATGCATATTCACATCCATAGCAGGTTTTCCAGATGATTCTCAGAAACATTCAAATGTGGGAGCCACAAGCACAGAAAACAAAGTAACAGGAGATGAACTGAGGACAGTGAATCTCACTTGTCCAATTTGAGCACAATCCTTTCCTTTCCTGCTCTCCCATCTGAGCTTCTGTTCTAACTTTCTGCAGTTCTAAATGCTTCCCTTTGGAACGTGGAACAGGATGAATGCCGACTCGAGTCGGCAGCTAGAATACTCACTCTGAGTCCCATGAGATAGTACAGAATGCTGATGACCGTCATGGGGAGGATGTAGAAGAGGAAGGAAGTGACCTGGATGATGAAATTGTAGATCCACATGGGCTTGATGATCTCGCAGGTGGCAGAGCCTGGGACCAAGGACCCGTTGGGGAAGTATTGGAGCTTGATGCCATGGATGCTGGTATTAGGCAGAGAGAAGAGGACGGAGAAACCCCACACCACAGCCAGGATCCTGAGAGCCCGGCGCCTGGTGCTCTCCAGCTTGGCACGGAAGGGGTGGAGGATGGCCACGTAGCGCTCCACGCTGACGGTGGTGACGCTAAGGATGGAGGCGAAACACACAGTCTCGAAAAGCGCCGTCTTGAAGTAGCAACCGATGGGCCCCAGCAGGAAAGGGTAGTGGCACCACATCTCATAGACTTCCAGGGGCATGCCAAGGAGCAGGACTAGGAGGTCTGAGACAGCCAGGCTGAAGAGGTAGTAGTTGGTGGGTGTTTTCATGCTCTGGTGCCTCAAAATCACCAGGCACACCAGGAGGTTTCCCACCACCCCCACCACAAAAATCAGTGCATACACCACAGACATGGGGAGGAAGAGGTGGCTGCGCCGAGGCCCGCACAGGTAGGCCAGGTAATCCTCTGTGCTGTTGAGGTAGTTCTTGAGTAAATCTTCCAGTTCCCGCTGGTGAATCCAGCTAGCATTCTCAAGTCTTTCCATCACTGACAGTAAAATTCAAGACCCGAGTCTCCCCCTGCTAGGAAGCTCTGTCTCAAGCTTAGCAAAGAGAGAGAAAGAGCAATCAGAGAGGCAGAGGCTCAGGGAGGAAGGCTGAGTGATGTGATTGTTGCAGCCTCTAGGTTGGGCTGCTGAGGCCGCTGATCCCCTTGGAAGAGCCCCTGAGACAGAAGCCCCTCCTCTCGGCAGACTGTAGGCCAATGAGTGTGAGGCAGGCTGCACCGAGACAGCTCTGGGCTGGGAGCGCTGGCTCTGCGTGCAGGGAGCACAGACCCTGCCTCTGGATTGTAAAAAGCTGGGCAAAGGGCTGACTCCCCAGGCCCTGAGGCTGCCCAAGCAAGGGCACTCCTACGCTTGCATAGTTATGGGAACCTGTGCAACATGACAAAACGAATGATCAAGAGATTTCTCAGATGACTTTCTTCCACTGCAAATTCTAGGTTGTTTAATAAAAGCTTGACCAATTAGACCTTCTGATTTTGATTGCATCAACAATGGATTCCAAAGTCTAGAGGATCACTTATATGCCATTTAGCCCTGTGTGTACTCTGTCAGTTCAACCTGTTTTGGCAACACCAGAAGTGTGTTTCAGAACAAGGCAAATCCAAAAAGTTTGTGAAAGTGACTAAAATTCTCAGCATCTCATTCCCTCCCCTGCATCATTCATTCTATTGTTTTGAAGACATTTTTTTTGAGGATTTATTTTGTGCCAGGTAATATTCTTTATTTGTGGATACATCCATAAACAGGCAAAATAAATTCTCTGTCCTTGTGAGTTTTATTTATGGTGGAAAATTCTTAAAATGTACCAACAAACCGATGAATTGATATGATTCCAGATAGGTGATAAATATTTATTAAATCTAATCAAAGGTGTACTTTGCTTAGGAGCCCTTTGGGCTGAGGTCTGGATGCTGGAAAGTCAGGTGTGAAAGAAGACAGTATATTCCCAGCCAAAGGAAAAACAAGGCGAGTGTCCTATGGCAGGAACAGTCTTGCTGTGTTTCAGAACTGTGGAGCATAGTGGAAACTTAATGACAATGACGAGAATTGAATGAATGCATGTAAGTGGCAGACAGGGACAGGCTCATGTAAACTCTCACTGGCTGTGATGAAGAGTTTAAATATTATTCAAACTTCAAGGACTTTGTCTTTGATTCAAACTGAAGGAACGTGATTTTTTTGTGGTTGTTTTGCAAGGTTTTGAGCAACAGATTTAGAGAGGCAACTATAGAAAGAGGTAATAACAGGCTAGCAAAAGAAAGAGGAGAGGCCTGGATTGCTATAATAGTCGAGTTGATATGAATAGTTTTCAATGTAGGAATATTGCAAGGGATAGTATCTTATATGGTTGGTTGTTGGGAAGACAGTATTAGATTTGCACATATTTAAAAACAACCCTTAAGAGATGTTCACTGAGTATTCCATTCTAAGAATGATCCATAGGTCCAGCTGACATAGTAAATGTTGGCATAAGAAGTGATTGACCTATCTCAATGACAAAAATAGTATTTATTTTTACACTATTTTTTTATACTTTAATCTTACTATTAATTTTAACTTGCTACTAATTTTAATTTTACCATTTTTTATACTTTTTCATACATTAGCTGCAGTGTCTGTTGTAGGCCATACTCAATGTCATGATCAGTGCAGTAGGGAGAAAGAGAGCTCTGAAAGTTTTAAGTAGGCAGTTCCAGGCTGTGGCCCCCAGGTAACAGATACCATAGCTGCTCAGAACTCAGAGGTCAGGCTCAGACAGCAGTATCCACTCAGATGCAGTCAGGGCAGGAAGGGCAGTCCTGCCAAGTGCACAGAAGAAGGAGGACTGGGACATCAGGTGGACACGGCAATTACAGACACGGGTGTCATCCCAGAGCCAGAATCAGAGTCCTCACATGATGAGCTTCACTGTTGAAGCTATGCTGAGCAAAGTTTACCATATATATTTCTGGTGAAATAGAAAAGTTTAAATATTGGAATGAAATGTCTCGATGAGATGTATTAGCTTTAAAATTATAAGGCTGGATCAGAAACTGATAACTTGTGTTCGGGGAAGACTCTAACATAAAGTCAACATACTAAAGATCCCAAAGCACTTCTACATTGTGACGGGGTAGATTTAATTAAGTAGACTGATATCTAATAAGGGATGCAATAAAAACTCAATATGAGGAGATGGTGTAGAAGAGAGAAAGATATGGAATTTAACAAAGGTTTTGGTTCAAGTTCTGGTTGTGTGTCGTAGTAGCTCTGTGATTGTAAGTAATGTATGAACTTTTCATTTCTATGACTCTGAGCTACTTCACTGGAAAGATGACAAGAATGGTAGCATTACTTTACAAGATTCCTAGGAGGGTTAAGGGTTTCCTAGTTAAAAAAAAAATCACTATAAATGATTTTAACCAATGCAGTATTTTAAATATTTAATAATCAGAGTGTAATAATGATAATTATGAAAATGTCTCTTTTTATTGGGGTCAAAACAGCCATTACAAAATTTACAAACAAGAAGTGCTTGAAACTGTTCATGAGAAAAAGACTTCTAGATTTTAATTAACTTTCCATGCATAAACAAGCGATTCAGAGCGGGTGCTAGGAGAGAAAATGGTTCTCTCTCCAGAGGCCCATGAGGGCTGGGACCTGCATTTGTCAGTAGTGAGGATGATGCAAGGCTCCATATCCTGTGGAGAGGATGTGTGATGCAAATAGAAATATTTTTCTGAAAGGATATTTGGAAGAGAGGGTCAATGAGAGGTGTAAGTAACACTTTCCAATACGCTAACATATCTGGACAGTTCCCAAGGACAAAGGGGGAATGCATAGAAAATGTCAGGGAGCAACAATAAGTGTTCAGTTTCACTGATATTTCTTGATGACCAAATTTAGAATCTGTTAGAACTGTTCATCTGAAAGATAAGTATCTAGAGGTATTTACCCAACAGTTTCTGCCCACCTATTTTGGAGAGTTGTTCCTGAAGGCAACAAATCCCATATATCTATACCCTGTTCTTACTCATGGTAAAATAGGTTACCCTACTATCCATGGAGGGTCTGGGGTAGACAAGTAGAAGTGCAGCATGAACTTACAATGCAATCATATCAACATAGCTAAGGCTGAACTTGCACTGAATTCAACTTTATAGTTATGGTTAAAATCGGGCCGGCAGAAGCTTGTAACACAAGAAAACCAGGAATTTCCTCTAAGACTTGTCAAATGCCGTAACACTGTCAGTATTTGTTGAGCATCTCTTCTCATGAACAGTGCCTTCTACATGTGGAAGTTTGAGCATATGAAATGTTTACAGTAATACTTCTGAGTCCGGCTCTGATGGTCTTTGGCTCTACAAGTCAGGGAAGGACACAAAAAGTATAGGACTTGTTAAAGCTCACAGAGAATGTCAGGCATCTGAGATGGGCTTTATATCATTTGTAGTAGTCCATAAGTTTGTTTGAATTGAATTAGATCTTTGTTTCCTGCTAATTCTACAAGTTTATCAAGAGTTGCCTAGCAGTTTGTATTCTATATGTTCTGCATATTGGAATGCAGGCTAAAGCTAGTCTTTGCACAATTCCTAAAAGGATATTTTCAAAGGAGGCTCTGACTGTGAAAATTTCTGCCTGAAAATTGCTCTCGTCAATTCTGTTCACTTTTCATGGGCTGAATCAAGGTATGGTGCCATTCTTAACACCAAGCAGAGTAAGTAGAACTATTTCATGTGCTTAGGGGGAGAAAACCAAAATTATTGGTAAAGAAAATCAGTGACTATATATTTCACCCCCCAAGACATCAAATATTCAGCTCTCTTGCAGGTAAAATACCCTTCCTTGGTGGTGTCCCAACATGTCTGTGCCATCATAGCTTAAAGTGAGAAACTCGGGAGTCTTAGGTGGCAGGTGGTATTCTTTAAAATGGAAAAATACATATGTATATAATCTCTGTGTGTGTATCATTTTGTTCCAGAGACCTATAATCTTGAAGTGTAAATTACCAGTTCCCTGCAAATCACTGCTAGGCTTTAGTAACAGACTTTCTCATTGCTTACTCTCTGTTCTCTGGACTAATGTTATATTTGAGAATTTGAGTTATAGCAATGTTCTGCTTTCATATCAATTTTAAATTAGGAGATTGAATGAGGTGATGCTGAGGTTACAGGTAACCCTAACAACAGAGTCTTATTTCTTAATTTGTAGTGTGTCTGTTTTGGCTAGCAAGTGAGAGCTTTGTTCAACATTGTCTTCATCTTGGGTATAGAAATCCATCACCTGAAGTAATCAAATTGCTGTGAAGACATAACGCTGGGTTCTGTCTTCTCAAGCCCACATTTATGAGAGCCCTTCTCTGCCTTGTAGCATCCAATGCTGTTCAGAGCAGTAAGAGTTGGCTCAATGAATGAATTGTGTATTAATGTAAGTACAGGTATTGTAGCAACTGAATAGATAGCAGTCAACCCTATTTGTTAAAGGAATACTTATAAAAATCATCAATGTCTCATTAAAAAAGTGGTTTTGAAAATATTTTCAAGTTCACTTTCACTTTATATGGTAAAGAAAAGAGAGAGAAAGAGGGAAAGGAAGGGAGGGGGAGAGAGAGGGATTTGGGGCTCCACCTCAGCCTCACACATAGGTGGCAGGGACACAGGAACTTGAACCATCATCTGTTGCCATATGCCTGCCCCTAAAACTGCTTATGATCTAGATACTAACAATGTGAACACACTGGCCAGAGAACTCTGTTAGTGGGAACAAAGCCTTCATCCGGAGGCATCATGTCCCCATGCTGAGGAACAAGCTGAGGAATTTGCGACTGAATTTGAATAACCATCATGACAGTTGAGTCTCTGTAGACTAGAGCCAGGAAAGATTGTTTAGTCCAGTCTCAAAGCCTGCAGTTAGAAGGGGATTTAAGGAAGCTCACATAGCCCTGTAGTGGCAATGGGGATGTTGGAAGGAGTTGGTGTTGTCTGGCCTACTAAATACAATAATTAATGTTACACACATTTTCAGCCATTATCC